CTCGCTGTGTCTTTCTCTGTCAAATAAATAAAAAAATCTTAAAAAAAAAAAATATTAAAGGGGATCCTGTAAGGGAAGAGAGAGCCCAAGAGTAACATAGACCAGAAAGGAACAGAGACAATATACAGAAACAGTGACTTTAAAGATAATACAATGGCACTATATTCATATATTTCAACAGTTACTCTGAATGTAAATGTGCTAAATGCTCCAATCAAAAGACACAGGGTATCAGATTGGATAAAAAAGCAAGACCCATCCATATGCTGTCAACAAGAGACTCATTTTAGACCCAAAGACACCTCCAGATTGAAAGTGAGGGGGTAGAGAACCATTTATCATGCTAATGGACATCAAAAGAAAGCTGTGGTAGCAATCCTTATATCATACAAATTAGATTTTAAACCAAAGACTATAGTAAGGGATGAAGAGGGACACTATATCATACTTAAAGGGTCTATCCAACAAGATCTAACAATTATAGGGGCGCCTGGTGGCTCTGTCGTTAAGCGTCTGCCTTCGGCTCAGGTCATGATCCCAGGTCCTGGGATCAAGCCCCGCATCGGGCTCCCTGCTCAGTGGGGAGCCTGCTTCTTCCTCTCCCACTCCCCCTGCTTGTGTTCCCTCTCTCGCTGTGTCTCTCTCTGTCAAATAAATGAATAAAACCTTTAAAAAAAAAAAATCTAACAATTATAAATATTTATGCTCCTAACTTGGGAGCAGCCAATTATATCAACCAATTAATAATACAATTAAAGAAATTCATTGATAATAATACAATAATAGTAGGGGACTTTGACACCCCACTCACAGCAATGGACAGATCATCAAAGAGAAGATCAACAAGGAAACAAGGGCTTTGAATGACACACTGGATCAGATGGATTTCACAGATATAGAGCATTTCATCCTAAAGCAACAGAATACACATTCTTCTCGAGTGCACATGGAACATTCTCCAGAACAGATCACATACTGGGTCACAAATCAGGTCTTAACCAGTATCAAAAGACTGAAATTATTCCCTGCATATTTTCAGACCACAATGTTTTGAAACTTGAACTGACTCACAAGAGGAAATTTGGAAGGAACTCAAATACTTGTAGATTAAAGAGAATCCTAAAGAATGAATGGGTCCACCAGGGAATTAAAGAAGAATTTTAAAAATTCATGGAAACAAATAAAAATGAAAACACAACTGTTCAGAACTTTTGGGATGCAGCAAAGGCGGTCCTAAGAGGGAAGTACATAGCAATACAAGCCTTTCTCAAGAAACTAGAAAAGTCTCAAATACACAAGTGAACCTTACACTTAAAGGTGCTGGAAAAAGAACAGCACACAGAACCTAAACCAAGCAGCAGAAGAGAAATAATAAAGATTAGAGCAGAAATGAATGGAATAGGGATGACTGGGTGGCTCAGTCGGTTAAGTGTCTGCCTTCAGCTCAGGTCATGATCCCAGGGTCCTAGGATAGAGTCCCACATCGGCCTCCTTGCTCAGTGGGGAGCCTGCTTCTCCCTCTGCCTGCCACTCCCCCTGCTTGTCTTCTCTCTCTCTGTCAAATAAATAAATAAAATCTTGGGGAAAGAAAAGAAATGAATGAAATAGAAACCAAAAGATAGTAGAACAGACCAACAAAACTAGAAGCTGGTTCTTTAAAGAATTAATAAGACTGATAAACCCCTGGCCAGACTTATCAAAAAGAAAAGAGAAAGGATCCAAATAAATAAAATCATAAATGAAAGAGGAGAGATCATGACCAACACCAAGAAAATGCAAACAATTTTAAGATCATACTATGAGCAACATGCCAACAAATTAGGCAATCTGGAAGAAATGGATGCATTCCTAGAAACCTATAAACTACCAAAACTGAAACAGGAAAAATAGAAAACCTAAACAAACCTATAACCAATAAGGAAATTGAAGCAGTAATCAAAAATCTTCCATCAAACAAGAGTCCAGGGCCAGATGGCTTCCCAAGGGAATTCTACCAAACATTTAAAAAAGAACTAATACCTATTCTTCTGAAGTTGTTTCAAAAAATAGAAATGGAAGGAAAACTTCCAAACTCATTCTATGAGGCCAGCATTACTTTGATCTCAAAACCAAAGACCCAACCAAAAAGAGAATTACAGACCAATATCCTTGATGAACATGGATGCCAAAATTCTCACCAAGATACTAGCTAATAGGATC